AAGCCGTAACCGGTCGTTTCCGACTAACGCTTCAATTCGATCGACTGCCGACCGTGTTTGAAAAACTTTGAAATCCATTTTACAACTGTAGGAGGACCCACCCCCAACTCCTTGAAAACCCCTCTGATAACTATTTTTGATGGATAATTATTAGACTCAGTTGTGAGTGAATGAAGACACTGTGGCACGGGTTTTTTCGGTGACTAAAGGTGTCATCGTTAGAAGGAGGGATACTGAGACTATTGCGCTAGTATAAAAAAATAATGCGCCGATTAACTACAGGGAAAAGCATCGACATGGCCTCCCTCGGGAATTTATCTTTTGAAGATTGGTTCCCGCCCCCCTAGGCCAAAATCTAGTTCAACTACCCTTCCCAAGTGCCAGTTTTTTGTGGGTCTCGACGAAGTTAACTGTTAGCCGTAAATCGGGAAAAAAAATCAGCCGTTAGGCATAAAAATTGACGTATTTTAACCGCTAGTCATAAAAGAAAATAATAACCATAAAAAATTAAGAATTAGCATAGTAAAATTGCCAAAATTTTAATCGCTAGCCGTAAGAGCCATCTGCCTATGGAGACCCTCGTTTGATTGTCACATCTGTTGTATAAGGAACTTGACTACTGAAGCTTCAAAACCTAGACTTAGACCAATATTCAGAGCCATTAGTTCACTTTAAGTACTTCCATATTAACGATAAACCATCAGCGTTCCCTTGGAAAGACTTGACACTTCCCGTTCAAATTCGCTACCGCACCAAGGTAAAGTTCAAAGGACAACAGTCAAAAGCCCGTGGGTTGAACCGGATGTTAAAACTGCGAGTTAAAGACCACACATATAAAAAGACAAAAAAAAATTTCAAACTTGTTGTCATGAGTGACTCCTTTTCTACAATGAATTTCTAGCAGAAAAACGTAGGCACGAGGACAGTTGCAACGGCAGTGTGACCCTCTCCCGCTCCATCCACCGCCTAAAGAACAGTGATTCCCTGAACTTATCCGATAGCTCAAAAGTGTGTTAAGAATTGTCGCTCGATCTAGAATAAGATATATTTCTGCCTCAGCATGGGCTGTACTGCTTACAGTCTTTAAGTATTCAGAAATGACTTTACAGCACGACATGAGCTGAAGTAACATTAGCTGAAGTATCAAAAGTATCACCTTTTTCTCGACTTAGATGTTTTGGTTTCCAGCCCAACCAATTTCCGTGAGTTTTGTAACTAAAACTGGGAATTTGGGAAGAAAACTCTAAGCTCAGCTAAGCATGTTTCAAATGGCACACCATGTTATTATACATTTACCTTCAGTTCTTGTTCACCTTATCTACAGCATTCTGTTTCCAGCCCCACATACCCCTAGTGTCCCCCTTCTCCTGTTTCAGTTATTTTGTACTTTGCCTCTGTTTCGTCTTTACTCTGACTTTCCCTAATCCCTTTTTATTTTACTATTCTTATTTATATTTTTTGCTTTTTTCCCTCTGCCATGGCTATTTGATGGTCTGTGTTCTGCTTATTGGCTCTTTTGGGTAATTTTTCTATGACAGTTAACTCTACATGAAATCCCCACGGCTTAATTAACATTTCTCACAGCAATATCTAGCTTATTAAAAAAGGTATCATGTAAACAAGTTTGTTAAAAGCGTTATTCACGGATATTCGTGGCCGCAAAACTACAAGATGGGAACAAGATTGGAAGAATTTCAGTCTTACGTGACAAATGCTTGTGTATCATATCAACTAGTTTAAGTTTACTTCCCGTCTTCAATGTCTTCGGCAAAGACCATTTGACCTACCGGTCTAAATGATTGGATTATCCTCTTTTAAGTCCACAATGAAGCTCAGTTTTGCCCTAAAAAATTTCTTAAAGCTTTAATGTATTCGATTATATGCAAAGAAAAATAGCTAACGGAATGTGTTACTGTAAATAATTTTGCAATTGGAATTTGAAACGAAAACAGGGATAAAAAAAAAAAAAATAACAAAAACAAAAAACAATCTGCCGTGGTTAGCTATGTGAGGTTAGCTTACTGCATTGATTTCCTGATCGAAGATGGTGTTAACTGCTAATACATGCATATGTATGTGCTTGGAATTCCGAATTTCACCGCGGGGCGCCTAATTATATTATGTCGTGACGTAAATGACGATGTTGCGATTTTCACAAAGTTCAGGCTGGTTTTTCCGTGCGGAAACGAAGAGCCCTAACTAATTTTTATATTCTCGAAAACAACACTATTTCCACTTATCATTAGCGTAACCTGAAGCGATTCTGGCTCATACCGCATATGGAGAAAGATAATTGAAAATTTGCTGTGAAATGTGATATTAGGAATCTGAGGTATTGGTGATTTTTTGGAAAGCGTTCCGTGAGCTCCAAATTAAATCGAATGGTCCAGTTCTAGACTTGACCCATACCTAAATCCTTCTTCTACAAATTTATCAAATTTATACATATCAAACTTGCTTTCGTTTACGCTTTTCATAAACAAAGCTCAATTGCCCTTACTCGGGACACTGATTTCCGCCATTTCACGGCTATCGAAACCCTTTTCAGTTTTCTTGAATTTGTTAGGATTAAGAAGCAAGTTTGGAAAGAAATCTTACCACGTTTTTAAGTTCACTATCAGGCATCTCTGACTGAGCTATGACGAAAGACATTCTTCGGTTGGTGTGCCACCTCTCACGCGGGCTTGAAAAAGAGTCGCTCTCAAGTCCTGTTGTAACCAATCAGATTACTTGAACTATTCTAACAAAGATTCTGATTGGCTTAGTGTAGCCTGCTTTCTGAAAGTACAGAGCATTCTGACACTGTTGTTTGCTTTAAGAATAAAGCTTGTTTGATACTGAAGGTCATGCGTGGGAAATTGAACGGATTCTTTAATGTAAAATAAATAGAGGCATTCGACTGCGGCATGCCGTGTTCTGTTGTGAAGCACGCAGGAAGCGGCTAGAGCTCTTATGAGGTAAGGAGAAACACTGCTTCCTGCATGCTTTACATTAGAACAGAGCACATTCAAGGGTTTTCTATTTGTTAGTTGAAAATAGACAGACTAACAGCCACAGATAGACGCAGAGGAACAGACAGAGAAAGCGATCGACAAAGTTCTTTATGACTTTGCAGCCAACAAAAAAGACAATAAATTGTTTTCATATCGCAGTGATATTTTCAAAATTGCACGTACAATGTTTTGAATTTGCGTATCAGGCCTACAGTTTGCTTGTTCTGTATGGTACAGATTATCAATCTAGCAGTTAATTGCCTTAAATTTTTTTTTTTATCAATTGTTTTATGTAGCAACACTCACAATGAAAGAAGTACCCAAGACGCAGTCTATACTTTTGAACAGAACTTCCAGCCTGTGGTGCCCAGTGGAAGGTGCCCCAGCTCCATACATTATGTGGAGAAAAAATGGTGTTGTTGTACAAAATAGCACCAGTATAAAATATCAGCTTCTTGAAACTGCCGAAAATAATGCAAATTACAGCTGTGAGGTACGAAGAGGTGAAAAGATATCATGGAGAGAAATCAGCCTCAACGTTGAAAGTGAGCTTTTTATTTACACCAGTGTAATATAAATATATAAAAGATTGATTTATTGCCTTAACCTGTATTCAAACAACAACAAACATATGAAACATATGTGTGAACTGCGGTTATGAGACGTATATGAGAACGATCCTTCGCAGTAAAGCACTATTTGAGCAATAGTGAAAATCAGACCTGAAAAAAATTTCAGGCCTGTACGGGATTCGAACCACTGACCTCTGCGATACTAGTGCAGCGCTCTACCAATTGAGCTAACAAGCCAACTGGGAGCAGGCCATCAAATTAATTCGATATAAACCCGTAGATGATAAATCAAACAACAACAAACATATGAAACATATGTGTGAACTGCGGTTATGAGACGTATATGAGAACGATCCTTCGCAGTAAAGCACTATTTGAGCAATAGTGAAAATCAGACCTGAAAAAAATTTCAGGCCTGTACGGGATTCGAACCACTGACCTCTGCGATACTAGTGCAGCGCTCTACCAATTGAGCTAACAAGCCAACTGGGAGCAGGCCATCAAATTAATTCGATATGAACCCGTGGATGATAAATCAAACAACAACAAACATATGAAACATATGTGTGAACTGCGGTTATGAGACGTATATGAGAACGATCCTTCGCAGTAAAGCACTATTTGAGCAATAGTGAAAATCAGACCTGAAAAAAATTTCAGGCCTGTACGGGATTCGAACCACTGACCTCTGCGATACTAGTGCAGCGCTCTACCAATTGAGCTAACAAGCCAACTGGGAGCAGGCCATCAAATTAATTCGATATAAACCCGTAGACGTCTCATAACCGCAGTTCACACATATGTTTCATATGTTTGTTGTTAGTACAAAGGATGTGGAAAGAAATTGGATTGTTGCGAATCCCGTACAGGCCTGAAATTTTTTTCAGGTCTGATTTTCACTATTGCTCAAATAGTGCTTTACTGCGAAGGATCGTTCTCATTTACGTTAACCTGTATTGTTTAATGAATTGCGTATCATCTTGTTAAATTTCTCAGCAACTCTCCTCCCCGGCTCGTCACCTGTGATGTAGCGGCTCCCTCAAGCTGCCCCGCTGTTCTAGAATTTATTATGGTTTAATATGGTATTATATTGCAACTGGTCTACTTCCCATCAGTTGAGATCTGATGTTTAAAGGCACTGATTTTAATATATCCATATGTCGCTTTGTGCCATTTAAATATCAATCTTATCCCACCAGCTGAGCATGAGACCTATTTAGCATAGTTATTCAATGTTCTTTTGCCTCTAGGAAGACTGAACCCCTCTGTATTGCTATAGTTTGATGAGAATGTTTGTTTTAGTTGTAAAGTTTAATTAATCATCTTCTCTCGTTGTTCTCCATCATGAACCATCCACTGTTTTGTTTGTTTGATTTTCAGACTAACATTTTTGTAGTGCTTGTCTTTCTTTGGAGACTATCTCCCTTTCCTCTTAAAGCAAATTTTCCTCGATTTTAAAATGATTTCTTTACCGTTGGAATGCAAACTCTGTGATTATGATAACTGCGCTTTCTTAAGGCATTAAATTTATTTAACGATCCTTTATGTCTAAAATTCAGAGTGCCCAGGCCCCTGTGAGTGCAGCATTTTAAAGGGAACAAATAACAAGCTGCTTCGAGTAAACTGCGAAGGGAAAGAATTAATGTCATTTCCATGGAAAATTCCGCTCGCAACAGCAGGCTTGTGAGTATAAATGATAGATATCGAATGTTGAGGTGCCCTGCTAGTTGCATAGTAAAGTGTAGATCATGGAGCAAGTGAATCTCATTCCTCATTTAACTGAGTGGTAGCTACTTCTAGATCAGTTAAAATAAATCTGTTTCACGTAATTGTAACTACATCGTAATAAGGATTGATAATGATCTGTTCAATAACAAATAATACATAGGACA